TAACATATAATGTATTATTTGTTTCAGAGGTACAGGTCTGTGATTCACAATGCTCACCATAGCACATACCCTCCCCAATGTCTATCACCCAGCCACCCCATCCCTCCCACCCCCCACCACTCCAGCAACACTCAGTTTGTTTCCTGAGATTAAGAATTCCTCATATCAGTGAGATCACATGATACATGTCTTTCTCTGACTGACTTATTTCACTCAGCATAATACCCTCCAGTTCTATCCACGTCATTGCAAATGGCAAGATCTCATTCCTTTGACGGCTGCATAATATTCCATTGTATATATATACCGCATCTTCTGTAGCCATTCATCTGTCGATGGACATCTTGGCTCTTTCCACAGTTTGGCTATTGTGGACATTGCTGCTATAAACATCGGGGTGCATGTACCCCTTCGGATCCCTACATTTGTATCTTTGGGGTAAATACCCAGTAGTGCAATTGCTGGGTTGTATGGTAGCTCTATTTTCAACTGTTTGAGGAACCTCCATACTGTTTTCCAGAGTGGCTGCACCAGCTTGCACTCCAGGTGTGGCTTCTATTAAGTAACAGTTCCTGAATACAAAAAGCACTGTAGATGACTAAGTCAATGCTGTGACTAGGACTCACAGTTTCTCCCTAAATCTTTCCTCCCCAGTGAGTATTGGTGGGAGTGTGTAAATAAAACAGCTGATTAGATACATTTTAGAGCTGCCGTCTATTGCTCAATGGATAGATGGGGCCAGAATCAATGGCAAATCACATCTCTCCATTCTATTTATATTGCTTCATGGCTCTCGAGTTTGTAAAAATCACAATTTACATGGGAACACGAACACATAAGAAACAACACTTTATGTTTGCCAAGAGGTTTCTAGATCTCTCTCGCCGGCAGGAAAGAAGCAATGTTGCCGAGCGTGGAGCCTCAAACACGCTACATGCACTTCCACCACCAGAGACCTCCATCGACAGTGGTGCTGCTTGAAACCTTGACTGCTCACTTCTCCGCCCGCACACTCTCTATGAACTCCTGAGGTCTCAGTGGTCACTTTGCCTGAGGTGCCTCCTCGATAGCCCCGAGTCTGAGTTAAACCTGCTGCTCCCCACTCTTTAGCGCAATGACAATGCTTAACCGTACGTGTCTCCGGAGACTTTATAAATGCAAGGAGGGCAGGTCTATGTCTGCTGTCTCTCTCTGCCTAGCTTCGTGGTATGCCTCAATTAGGCACTTAATAACTACGCACAACAGGATCAAGCACTGCTTCTAAGAACCTGTGAGCATTTTAAAAGTGAGAGGACCCAGTAAAAACCTCTTTGAAAATAGGATTAGGAAGGAAGAGGTGAACCTCCGTGCCAGCCAAGGGAGGTACATGCCCGAGATCTTCCTTCCGGAGACAAACTGCCATGAGGAGCCTTGTTAGCTGCCAGCCAATAGCTGCTGCCCCTTCAGGGCTGACCAGTGTTCTCCTGGAGGCTGGTCTCGATGGGACGCTCTAGTCAGTGACTCCACATGGCAGGGGAACCCAACAAAGGATGCCTCTCACATGCAGTCTTGGCTCTGAGGTGCTTCAATGGCCTGGCCAAGACTTTCTGAGAGCTGCCTCCAGGCAGTCCTCCTAGATTCCCTCCCTATTCAGAGAGATCAGACCTATCCTGTGGTGCTGACACTGTCCCCACCCAGCCCTGCTTCTCCCTCTCCTCTTTAGCTCTCCCTGCCAGCAAATTCGCCTACACTGAAAACCCCACCTTGCAGTCGGCCTCGGTGGGGGTGACCAGATTTCTCATTGTCATTTCAGCTCAAAGAATATATAAGAGTCTTCCTATTAAAAAACAAGCAAACAAACTTAAGACTTAAGGAGGAATTAATATTCTAAGATATGACTCCCAGAGCTGAAGAAATAAAACCAATTCTGAACTGTAAAAGAAATTCATATTGATTTTTCCTTTTTACACATTTCTATCATCATTTCCAAGCCAGAGATTCTGTGAAGGGCACGATTATTTATGTCCCATCAAATTAACAGATCATTCAATTCCCTCACAGGACCTTCAACTTGAAAATGCTTCTAGTTCCAACAAAAGGGAGGCCTGTTATCACAATGAAGTCAGCAACAGCCTGAGAACTGGGGGTGGGGACAAAGTCAGATTTCCAAGATGTTCTCTTATGCCTTTCTCTTCCCAGTCAAAGCAAAACTCAAGTGGCCTTTGGTTTCTCCTCTTCTTTCAGTTCTACATTTTGATATTTTCACTTATTTGTAGGTTTATCTGACTTGGCTAACATTTACGGAGCGTCTGTTACTTGCCACACACTCAGGGGGTCTTGTCCTCATGAGGCTGACACTTTAGTAGGTAATACATGAGTAAATAAAACACACAGTTATTTCACATACTTTTAAGTGGTTCGAAGAAAGGAACTGAGGATGATGTGACAGGGAGCCATGGGAGGGGGGAGCCGGTGGGGCATTTGATAGGATAATAAAGAAAGAACTTTCTGAGGAGGCACGAATCTCAACTGAGACCTGAAATAATAAAGGGAGACACCCTTGTGATGAGCTAAGGCAAGAATTTTCTGGACAGAAGCAGCAGAAACAGCAAATGCAAAACCTGGGAGGGAGAGCACCCCGGGCAGGCTGGCGGGGTAGAGAGAGGTGGCACCTCGCCTCGCCTCCCTTCCAGACACCTCCCTGCACATCTCTCAATCACACACAGGGGGCCTGCCACACTTTTGCTGTATAAATAAGTAAACTCCCTTTTGCAGGGAATTATTTCTGGTAGGTCTCCTCTGACTTCTCCATTAGGAAGTAGTGTTGAAACTACATCCCAGGCATCTCTGCCACCCTCCCAGCAACAGGGAAACACAGAAGAGCATATACAGAACAGCCTCTGGGAGGCTTAATTGTGGATACTGAGCAAGGATAACACGATTATGTTAGCAGAGAGGCCATGAACCAAATGACGACTACGCAGCGAGTTCACAGAGATCTGGGGATCTGGGAGCTAAGAGAAGCCTCTGCTTACCTTTAACATACGGAATCTCCTTCAATTATTATTGTGGAAATAAGAACACACAGATCTACTTAAAGGCCATAGCTGGTGGAGCGCTTACTCTCTGACTGAAGAATAGGTACCTATTTCGAAGATTCTAGAACTCTCCATGGTGTGTTTGTTTTAAAACAGGACGAAAAGTCAGGGGGAATGAAGATCTACTCATCATTCACTACATTTCAAACCCCCCAAACTCAGTCTACACTATGAATTTCCGGAAGGGGTTTGATCAACTGAGTATCTGCACGCTGACAACTGGTTTTAGTTTCCCTGAGAGAAATGGGGGAAGATGTCTGTTAAGCTCTGCAGAGTTGGCTAATGTCGAAAGACAATCCTCCCAGAAAGGTGTGAAGATGTTTTATCACAGCTGTGGAGATGAAGGGGAGATTTATTATGGTTACTAATGCTATTTCTGTCAATGTCTTTGGAATTCTAATTAGATTATTAAAACTTTGCAAACCACTGCATTACCTCCAAGACTCCACACCTCCCTGTGACAAGGGTACTTTTGAAATTAGAGGATCTTGATGTCATAGGTAATGATGCATCGCCAATAATAAAGTTGCAGGGAAATTCCTCCAATAAAAACCAGTTGGGAAAGACAGAACCCATTTATCTTACTTTCTCTCCCAGTTTTATGCCTGAGGATAAGACGTCTGCTGCCCAGAACACGGCCTAGCTTTCTCCACGCTAGCAGCTGATGATGCTTGCTCACATGCGGCAAAGTTTAATGACTTGTCACAGCTACTTACATTTTTTCCCCTAAATCTGAGAGGCAAATCAAGAGATTTATTAATGCAAAGATATTTGAAAGAAGAATATTTTTAAGAGAGACACGAGACAGTGGCAGGTTCAGCGCATACCAATAGTACATCTTAGGGTGCTTTGATTTATAACATAGGCATTCAAAGTGGTACCTGAAGAGAAACAAATTGTTTACTGTTAACCCAGATCCATTTGCAGGTAATAAATGGGCATGCTCTTCAGAGGATGAGGAATGGGTGTCACCCTCTGTCCTCTGCAAGATAACCCCCTTCCTTTAGGTGGAGACCTTAGCTCTTCACATCCCAGTAAAAAGAAGCGTGCGTGGCTTACTTACCATGATGTACGACGCCCTTCAACCCATGGATAATAGGATCCAGTGCGGAATTGTCCCTTGGACTGACCTACATGTAAAGGAAACATGATTGGTTAAATCCATTCTGGCATCAGGCACAACAGCCTCAGTTTAATCTTCTGAAGAGAAAGGGGGAAAATAGACGTGATTTAGCAGGCTGTGCAGGTCTTCCATAGACCATGGCTCTCACCAAACACAAGAGATTTACGACATCATAAAATCAAGTGAGGAAGTCTAAATCAAAAGAAAGAAACTTCTCAGGATACATTAGAACGGGAGAGAAATACCACAGTCCCAGTAAAATCTTAAAAAGCAACCGCAAGACTTCCCTCTTACTTTTGTTTTATTAAAAGTACACCCGGATCTGCTAAAAAGTCATTGAAAGTCATCAAAGAGTAATCCATCATTGACTGAATATTTCAATACCTTCTTGTGATGTGTTTTTTTTTCTCTCCTTTTTGGAAAATGGATCTGTGCCCTGTCAGCCCCCTCTCCTTTCTAAGGCCCCCAGTCTCCTGTGCTTTACCCCATACTGTACGAGGAATTTCTACGAGTCAAAGCAGGAGAGGGGAGGAGAGAGGGGAGCCTGAAGAGACAGTGTCTCCCAACTTCATTTCCCCTGGGGTTTTCAATTCCCCCAAAGTCAAGTCTCTTACCCATTTTCCCCTAACTTTCTGATATTACTCAGCACAAATTTTCATTCTTGCCCTTTCTAGAAGGCTACAATTCCACCAGCATACTGTAATTTTGGTTTTGAGGTACTTTCTTTTAGACACGTTATTGAAGTGTTTATAAATAAAATGAAATGAAATAATGACTAGATTTTACTCCAAAATAATCCAGGAGTGGACAGCCATTCAGAAAGCGAGCAGGGCATAGATGCAGTGAGACTGGCACTCAATCAATCATTTATGACCTTAAATGAGGCATATCAAGTGCGTCTTGATATACTTTTCTCTACTTTCGTGGATAACTAACTTTTCCCAAATAGTTTTCCAAAATCCATTCTCTGTGGTCAGCATATCTCCTGAACTTTTTTTCAGGAGTGATATATTTTTATTTAATCCACTTCTAACATAATGAAGTTGTGATACTAGTGAACCTTTCAACGTGTAGCAAGACCCAACTTGATGTCTCCTAGTTAATTCAGTGCCATATTAGGTGAAAATTTTAAGGTAACTGAAAATTTTCCACATTCCTCCCCCCACCCCTTACAAATTGTCTGTTGGGTTGCTGCTCCTACTTTGCTCTCAGACAATACCCATACCTCATGCATTTCTTTCTCTTTTCTGCTTCAGCATCTCCAAGTGAGAGTAGTGGTTCTCAACTGGAGGTGGATTTTACCTATCTCTCACTCCCTACCCCCACCCAGGGGAAGAAGAGGGAGGGGTTACTAGCATCACATGGATAGAGGCAGGGCTGCTGCTAAAAATGTCATAATGTTCAGAATAGCACCCCACACAGCAAGAAATTACCCGGCCCCAGGTGTCAATGGGGCAGAAGTTGAGGTTGAGAAATTCGGGTTACGTGCTCTATGAGGTAACAGTGATTACCTATTAATGTCTGGAACCCTGAGTTATGACTAAATTCAAACACAGGTATCATTAGGTATGGTGTTATGTTTACAGACTAATAAAGTGAGGTGGAATTTGGTACTACACCGTAAACACTACAGGTACTTAAAAAGGGATGAGTGAATAAGAACCGAGTGTGTATCAGATCACAACAGTGGAATTCTGGGAGTTGGCATTAGCGTACCTCCAAATTGCCTGACAGGAAGCCCTAGTCAGGGCTTTAACATACCGGTTGAGCACAAAACATTCTTGAAAGGCAAACATTCACAAAAAATACACCAAAATGAAACATTCATATTTACACCATAGCAAGTACTTACCAACATTTCAAAAACCTGGTCAAAAATGGAATCACAACTCAAGAATGCAAGACAAGTGAGTCTACCAGTAAATGTGGCCAAGTTTCCAAAGTGAAAGAATAAAATAAGAGCTGAGAGAAATATCCCATATCAAATTGAAGTTAGAGACAAAAACATGGTCTTCCTTCTCCCTTGTCCAGATTCAGTCTGGCAGAGAAGTTTATGCCAGTTCAACTACCCATAGTTACTCTGACATCTGTGGGAAATGGCAAAAGGGCCACAAACTCCCACCATCCCTGTCACACGTATCTCTGCGCTTTTACTTGGCCACTCCTCCCATCAAGAGGGTCTATCAGCTTCTCCCCTCTTTGAAACTGGGCTTGACCACATCACTTGCTCTGGCCAATGGGACATTGGCGAACATGATATAGGGAGCAGCTGACACAGGGCTTGCCTGCCAGAGGTTTATCCTCTCTTGTTACTCTTTGGAATCCTGAGACCACCAGCTGAAGAATCCCAGGCTAGTCTCCTGGAGGATGAGACAACATGGAGCAGACAGGCAGTCTCCGCTAAGGTCGTTCCAGAATCACCAGCCTCAGAAGAACTACCTGAAGTCTGCAGAGACCACTCAAACTGGTCCCAACCAGAAGAACTGACCAGCTCACCTACAGAGTCATAAAGCAGTAAAATAATTGTTATGTTAACTAATTTGGATCATTTATTACATCAGAAAATTTAACTGTGAGAGAGTTTCTATGAGTGTGTGTAGAAGTGAATGATTGAGGACAGACTATGATGCCAATAATTTTCTTAACCAACACGCTTTGCTTATGATTTGTCATAAAGGTTTCTCAGTGAGGTTCCACATACCAAGACACAGCATCTACCCTCAACCCAACTAACTCATGCATTTCGCAAAAACTGTGTTCCGCCTCCTCTACCATGGCAATATTTCACAGACACTTTAATTTTCAATCCCAACTGTGGGGGGAGGTGATGTTTTGTAGTCAGGGGTACCTTTTAATGCATTCAGTCTTATTTGATGATGAGAAAACTCAAAGAAAATGTTCCAACCCCCCATGACTTAAACCCACCAATAACATTTGGAGCTCATACAAGAGGAAAATAACCAAGCAACCTAATGCAGGTTTACTTTCTGACCACCTCTGGCTACAGTATCTCCATGTCTGATTACTCAGGTCTGGTCTCATTCAAACTCAAGGGCTTGACCCCAGACTTTAAGCAACCCCATACATGAAAACCCCTCTACAATGCCCATTCACCTCCACAGCCCCCACTGCTAGTTTCCATGGCGGGAGTTGAGAAGACGGATCAGGAGAAGGGGAGAAAATAACAGAGATTATTTTTGGCTGGTCCAAGTAACTTACTAATAATACTGAGCTTACTCTCCAGTCTGTGTCTTGGTTCCAAAACTCAGGGTGGGAATCCAAATAGCATGCTAATAAGTGGGTTTGTTCCAGTAAAGGCACCACCCTAACTGAAATAATCCCTTCCATTTACTGTTTCAATTTGTCACTTAAAAAAAAATTCACGAACATAAGCTAAGCAATTTGGACAGCTTTGAAATATGCCTACAGTGAAGAAGGCTGTTTGAGCAACCCGTATTTACATTCTGGTCTCAATCCAGAGTAGAGGGGGCAAGGGGTGGGGGGGAAAAATGAAATTTCGAGTCAGGGATGAACCCTTAGAGCTTCAGTGTCCTCACCTGTAAAATGGGGATATAATTTCATAATGCTGTCCTGAGGATTACATGCGCAAAGCCTGGAGTGTCACGCTGAATCCAAATGCAACATTCAAGAGGGATGGAGATGACTGGGCAACAACCTGATCCAAACGGTCACATTTAAACGAGTGTCAAACAACAGCAATTTCATCCCTGAACTTCTCAGTGTACTTGGCTCTAAAAGTAATACCTACTTGAGCTCACATTTCAAAAGATCCAAATTTATGTTTTATTTGACATCCACTCAACTTCATAATGCCCTGCTCCTTTTAAAGCCACATGAGGAGCTTTCCTGGCTCTTGAAATTTGCCACCTTCCACTCCGATATCAAAGGAGTTGTGCAGTAATACTGAGAAGGTGGCAATTGCACAAATGAGCCTAAAATGACTTCTAAGAAATGGAACCCCCTTCCTCTCCCCGGCCCCCCCCGGCCCCCCCGCCAGCCACCTTCCCCTGCGGTTTGTGTTCTCACAGCAAAACTTAGCTCCTGGCCCTTCCATTTCGGAGCAGCTTTCGTGGCATTAATCATCTTCAAAAGGACGGCATGCCCGCGACAGAGGACTCTGAATTAAAGCCTTTAAGTTGTTTTTAGATATAACAAACTACACAGAGACATCAGCAATACAGGAAACCATGACACATATGTTTGGGCAAAAGGCCGAATTCATAGGAATGCCTAATGAAATCTAATCTTTGTAACATTCTCTTCCCAAAAAATAGACCATGATAAGGACTGAACCAACTATCAGATTCGTAACCAAGTTATCAATAATCTCTAGAGCTGTGTCTGGAATCCAGGCCCTTAGGAGGACCTTGTGGTCTCTCCTGCTGGAAGCCAGATGAAACGGAAGCAGAGAGGCCCCAGCGTTCAGATATCTGCCACCATCTACTTTTCCAGTCCACCGTGCCATTTGGCCCTTGACTTGGATCCTGATTATCTTCAATCTCTCAAGTCCTGGCCATCTGCTAACTAGGATGGCCAAGACAACCTACTTGCCTTGAATCCAACATCGTGCCTTTAGTCCTATAAACGTCACATCCAGCCAATATCCTCTTGTGGGGAAAAGGATTTATGCCTGCTGGGAGTGAATAGCTACACCATTAAACCGTGCCTGCAAAGGAAAGTGACAAACAGCAGGACCTTTTTGGCCTTCCTGAACTGCAGAGGCGATGATCCAGCCCCTCCGAGGGTTAGTGGGTAACTCTGTCCGCTGATCAGGACAAGGGCAGGCACTTCTCAGGAGATCTGATTTCAGATCTGATTCTCCTCTTCCTCCCACGGCTCTCACCTAAAGAGCCACGTAGCAAGGATGCCTCAGCTTCTTTCATTCTGACCTCAACACCTTGGTTACCACTCACCACATTTTGATTCAAGTTGCCATCAGGAGCTTCCTGGCTCAAATCATTCATAACTTGGCCATGTTCACAAACT